CCCCAAAACCCCAAAACCCCATGCTGTTGAATATTCAATGTTTTAAATAATTTAAAGTTTTCTAGAAATGAACTCGAAATAATATAATTTTAATGCTATTTTAGAACTACAGTCAAAACGCATATGAGCAGTTTTTCTGCAATTAACTACTTCAGTAAAACCTTTTACAATAGTAATCAATGATGCCTTCAATGAATTTGATTACCTCAGACCCAGTGGCTCAATAGTAGCTAGCTAGTAATCTGCTCTAATAGCAAGTTCTCTAGCAGTAACTATTGCAGCAGTAACCTTAGCAACAACTGAATTCCCCATAATCTCCAAATCCTTACATTAATCAGTTTCAAGTTCCAGTCACTCAAAATACCTCCACATTTAGCAATAATCTCTCTTCTACCAGCACAGCTAACACTACGGCTTCTGCAAATAACATTCCAACAGTTGAATAGCAATTCGAGTCTTTGAAAAACGCTTACTTTAATGCGAAACCACTTAATCTAAAGTAGATAGCATCGGAGAATATGACTTAAAACCCATTGAACTCTTAAAAATGTTTAGCTTGTAAACAAACATGTTAGATAAAGAGCCTGCTCTGCTGTGAGATGTGCCTTATTCAGGTTCACTATGAATGCTATGGGCAGAGTAACTTTTTTAATAATCCATTGACATTGAGAATATACGGCATTAACAATCCTAGTCAGCAGGGCAAACTGCCAACAAGCATTTGGATTTGCGATAGATGCTGCATTTCAATTGAAAATGAGCAGTTGAGAGATCTTAATAAAATGAAATGTTAGTATTGCTAGCAGACTTCTGGACTGATGAAAATGCTTGACTCTGAAGAGAAGTGGGTGCATTACGACTGTGTCATGAGTCATTAATAGTTATAGCAGCAAAAATAGCACTAACTTTTATAATAGTAACAGTAGCTGTTGAATCAATAAGTAATGCAGTGAATTTGAATTTATTAAACTCAATTATAATATTCATAATAATTAGTATAGTTTTTGTTGTTGGGGTTTTGGGGTTTTGGGG